AGTCTTCGAACAGGGCCCAGGGGGCAGTTCCACACTTGGGGGCGCAGGGGGCTCCTCAGGAGTGGGGGGCTCCTCAAGAGCAGCAGGCTCTTCGAGGCTGGGGTTCTCCCAGCTCACCTTCAGTTTGTCAGGCAAGGTGCTGTTGGGGGGGCCCTCAGACCCACTGTCCTCCTCTGAGGGGCTCTCGGGCCGGGTCTCGGTGCTGGCCGAGATGGGGGTTGGGGCCCTCTCCCCTGCAGGGAGCTCCACGCTGTCACAGAGGCTGGTGGTCTCAGCTGCTGGGGAAGGCTTGGTAGGAGGCATGAGTGCCGCCCGGGACTGGGGCTGGGCCGCACTCACGTCGCTGCTGAGCGAAATCTCTGGTGGGCCACTGTCTGGCACATCAAGGTCCAGGCGTAAAAGCCCATCGGAAGCTGCACTGGCGACCTGGCGGGAACAAGATCCAGGTATCACCTTGGCTACTGCCACTGGGTCTAGCTCAGGTTCCCCAAGTCATCTCCGCTCCCTCACCCCGAGAGCCCCTCAGCAGCTCTTTTCCTGCCCCTCGTGTCTAGTGTGGTCCAGGGCACAGCTGACCACCAAAAGGGAACAGTGGCACTGACTCCAGGGGCCCACAGGAACCTTCTCAGGAAGCCTGGGAGGCCATGGAGTAGGGCCTGGCAGGAAGGAGGCCTCTCCCAAGATCCCTCAGATGGAGGGGCCTGACTGGAACCCTCATTTTTCCCACGTGCACCAGGAGATCTGGCCAACAATACCCACCCTGAATCACCAGAGACCATGACAGCCAGCCCACCCCCATCTTGGGTTCTCTGAGGCTCCTCCCAGGATGGGCCCCTCCTTGTCCAGGTCTCTTGCTCTCAGGCACCCCAGCCCTCCCTCTGCAGGCTTCTCTCCCTAGGTAACAGACAGACAGGCAGGTGTATCTCAAAACAAACCCTCTGATGACCTGGGGTGCATTCTGCCCAAGGCTCCTTTTCTCCAGGGCACCTCTCCCGGTTCTGCACCTCAAAATGGCCCTAAGCTGACTCCTCTCAGAGTAAGTGCTGCCTCTTCTTCAGGCACACCCTTGTCATTTGGCTGAAGGCCCTGGGTCTTCTGCCGGTCAATCAGGAGGCCCTCGCCTCTCTGGCTGTCTCTTCCTTGGCTGCTGCTGGCTGCTTCCCTGGACAGCCCAAATGTTGCATTGGCTGAGCTCCTGTTCAGCCTCCAAAATCCACCCCCCGCCCACTTAGCAGCTCTTGGCCTGAAAGAGGCTCATCCTTGGCCCTCCCCTGCCACACCATCTCCCAAATTCCCTGCACCTGGGCCAACATCTGCCCAGGCTCCAAGCTTCTTGCTCTGTCCACTCGTACTGTGGCTCTTGCTCCCCATGTCTGCCATCAGCCCCTCCCTTCCCACTCCTGGGCCTGGAGGGCCAGTCTGCCACTCCTTGCTGGCCACCTGCCCTGTCCTCCTTCACTCTGACCCACCCTATCTAAGCCTCAGACGGACCTCTGGAAGGAACCTTCCCATCACATCCCCAACTCTGCCATGAAGCTTCTTCCCCTAACCCCATCTTCCCAGCCAGCCTCCCACACAGACAGAGCCACTCATCCACCCTGAGCTGTCTGGTCCAAGTGCCAGCTCACGCCATCCTGTCCGTGGATAGGTCTGTTCCATCTGGAAGCCGACCTCTGAGAGGCAGACTCCCCTCATGGGCCTCAGTTTCCCTGTGGCCAACTCAGCCCAGTGTGTGGAACCCAAATGAACAAGGCCATGGCTTTGGGGACATTGACACCCTGAGCAAGTACAGCACAGGTGCTGCCACCACCCTTCCTGCCACTGCAGGCTCACCACTCAGACAACCCCGGCTCCGGGCAACCTCAGAAAAGGGGTGGACCAAGCCTGGCTGCCACTGAGCAGCTGAGGCCTCAGTCTCACTGTCCTCCCTTGTCCATGCTGAGGGCAAGGCCTTACCTCCTTCAGGTGGATCCTGGTGGGCGGCCGCCGCCGCTGGCCCCCCCGTACCCGATCCCGCGTCACGTGCTCCAGGGCACAGGTCTTGTCCACTTTCACCTGAGGAGGAGAGGGGAGCAAGTCAGCCCACCCGCCAGGCCTTGGTGGAGTGGGAAGTACCTGAGGTATCCCACATCCGCACAGCATCTGCCCTCTTGCCTCAGTGTCTCTGCCCAAGGGAAACCTCAGCCCTGACTCCTTGCTTTACTGCAGTTATCTAAGAGTCTCAAGGTCACACTGGGGCTTAGCTAGGGCACCAGGGAGAAGCCAGCTCCCCATCCCCTGGTGCCATTACCCACACAGTACTGCCTGCCCTGGCCTTTCCCATTCTCCCAGCCCCTGGGGACACCCAGGAAAGAGCGAGGCCTCTGCCTTTGGGCCCGGGAGTCTGGAGAATAGCAGCTCCTCTCTGAGGGCCAGGAAAGGGTTGAGGAGCAGGTAGGAGGGAACCCCTGGTGGCATGTCCCTCCCAGGAAATGGGAGTGCTCCAGCCTACCAGGGGCTCCAGCTGTCTCTGTTCCTCTGCTCTGCTGAGACTGGGCTGAGGTCCAGGCACTGACCCTGCGGTCAACCCAGTTCCTACCGATGTGGCCACCCATCATCCTCTCTGCCCTGGGCAGTGAAGGGCAAGCAGGACACAGTGACAGGAGAGAACACAGGAGCCACAGGCTTTGCTTACACAGCTTGTCACCCTCCAACCTCATATTTTGCAAATCAAGGTATCATTCAAGGTAGCCCGATATCCATTTTAACTCAAATAGCTAAGAATCTATGATGCCAAAGACAAATAGACTAGGATGTAGCTCAGTGGCAGGGCATTCTGCTTCTGGCTAAGACCAGTGAGTGTAAAGGCCATAAAGAAAAAGTCACAAACAAGGCCCTAGGTTCAATCTCAAGTACCACAAGGAAAGAAACTCATCTTCCCAAGAGATCCTGGCCCCAGAGGACACCCTCAACCCCGTTTGACATGGCCATTGCTCCCCAAGGCACCACTACAGTGTGGGGCTGAGGTTTGTAGGGTTGGAGGGTCACAGCCAGGTGGCCTGGATTTCATGGGCAAACTGGACGGGAGCTCCTGATCACCCTGTGCTCTCTGGCCTGGGCCACCTGCTGAGGCTACAACCAGTTCAATTCCACACCACCACTGAAGGTTTTTGTGGTTCTTGTGGTATTGGGGTTTGAATCTAAGGCCTTTACACTGAGCTATATCCACAGCCCGTTTTTATTTTCTATTTTAAGACAGGGTCTTGCTAAGTTGCTAAGACTAGACACCTGCCTTTGATCCTCCTGTATCAGCCTCCCACAGTGCTAGGGTTTGTAGGTATGTGTACACCACACTAAGTCTGACGTCACTGCTTTTAAAGTTAAAATAAGCTAGGGGCTAAGGATTTAGCTCAGTGGTTCCACTGCCTGTCTTGAAAGCTCAAGGTCCCCAGTTCAATCCCTGGTACTCCCCCAAAAAATAAAAATAAAGTTAAAACAAGCTTTTTAATTTCCTCATGCCTCAGTTTTGTTTCTAAAATGGGGCACCACCACCCACTCTGAGAAATTGTTAGGAGGAATATAAGAGATAGCCCCGGATGCCCCAGCATTTCTAGCAGTGATGAAACCAAGGGGCAGTCTGGGGCAGGGTTACCACCCAAAACATGGGCGCAAGAACCGTAGCTGTGCGTGGGGCTGTGACACACCTCGTCAAAGGCCTTGTTCTTGCCTCGGTTGATCCCTTCATTGAGGGCTTTGATCCAGGATTCTTTCTCCTCCCCACTGGGTGCCTGGAATTTGATGTCATTGACCTGCAAGGGAGACAGTGGGTAGGGTGGATCACAGATATTTCACAGGGCTCATCTTTGGGGTGGCTTTGTTTTGTTTTGCTGGGGTGTTTGTTTGTGTTTTTTTGGGGACAGCTGCACTATGTAGCCTACACTGGCCTCAAATTCATGGCATTCCTGTCTCAGCCTCCCAGGTGCTGAGATTACAGGCATACATCACCATGCCCAGCACCTTTGGGATCTTCATGAAGCTTCCCACCGCAGATCCCAAAGTCAAACCAAAATGACCTTACAGCAAATCTTACACCAGGGCCTGGGTGCAGGGGAGGGAATGACGCAGCAGAAAAGGGACCCCCAGGCTGAATGCCAGGTCTCTGCCCTTCCTGCTCTGTAAAGGAGGAACAGTCTTAGTCTATATCCAGTCCAGGCTGAGTATGAGAGAGGAGACAGGAGCGAGGCCACTCCAGGCTCCCCAGTGGGCCCCAAACCCAGCCCTGGCCTTGGCTGAAAAATATGCCAGACTGCTGAAGACCCAGGGTCTCGCTTCTGGCTTTGAATCTCGGACTGTAAAGAGGACAGAGGAGACAGTTCCAACCCCTCATCACAGAGATGAAAATGGATTCCAGCAGAGGAGGTGACGCTTGTCCCACGTGGACTAAAGCAATCTTTTCTGATCCTCGACCACCACGCATGCACCCCTTCCCATTGCAGACAGGAGCTCTGAGCACCCATATTAGAACTGCAGGGCAACCCAGAGTGGAGTCCCTGCCCGAGCCCAGAAGAGGGAGCATGGCCGTGCAAACAAAGGGCCCCTCATGTGCTACACACAGCAGTCCGGCCGCCAAGCTGGGCAGTCTACCACTCATAGCCATCTGACTTTGGGCCTCAGTTTCCTCATCTGTAAAAGAAAATATCACTGCAATCTGCCTCCAAGGATGTGGAAATCATTAATAAAAAGTGATGTAGCTGAGGCAGAGGGTACAGCTCTGGGGCAGGGCACATTTACCATGTACAGGTCCTGCATTGGATCTCTGGTATTGCAAAACAATAAATAAAAAATAGGTGTGTCTAACTTATACACTCATGTTCATAGCAGTATTATTCACAATAACTAAAAGGTGGACGCCATCTAAGTGTCCACAGATAAGTGGCTAAACAAAATGTAGTATAGACATGCAATGGAATATTATTCAGTCTCAAACAGGAAGGAAATTCTGACGCATGCTACAGCATGGACAGGACAAAGTTTGAAAACATCATGTTAAGTGAAATAAGCAGGCACAAAGGACACTGCTGGGTGTGGTGGCTATGCCTGTAATCTCAGCACTTTAGGAGGCTGAGGCAAGAGGATCCTTACAAGTTTGAGGCCAGCCTAAACTCAAAATAAAAAAGGAAAAATGGGGACCGGGAATTTAGCTCAGTCGTACCACTGCCTGCCTTGCAAGCGCAAGGACCCGAGTTTGATTCCCAGTACAAAAAAGAAAAAGGAAAATCGATTGTATGAATCCACCCACAAGGAACCTAGTGCAGTCAAAATCATAGGGACACAAAGTAGAACAGTGGTTGCCCAGGGCTGGAGGAAAAGGGAACGGGGCATCAGCATTTAATGGATACAGGTTCTGGTTTACAAGATGAAAAGAGTTCTGGAGATGGATGTGGTGGTGGCTGCACCACATTATCAATGTATTTAGTACCCACAGAAATACACGCCACCCATGTTCAGGTGGTATAATTTTTAAAATTTTGACACAGGATCTTACTATGTACCCCAGGCTGGTATTAATCTCATGGTCCTCCTACCCTCAGCCTCCTAAGTGCACCATCATACCTAGCAAGATGGTAAATTTTGTTACATGTGTCCAAACACAATTTTAAAAAAATTTTTAAAAGATGAATCTAGAAGCTGGATGTGGTGGTACATGCCTGTAACCCCACCACTCTGGGAGGCCAAGGCAGGAGGATCCCAAGTTTGACCTTAACCTGGTCAACTTAGTAACTGCAAGACCCTGTCTCAAAATAAAAAATTAAAAACTTGCTGAGTATGTAACTCAGTGCAAAGGCCCTGGACTCAATTCCCACTACTGCCAAAGAAATAAATAAATACAGTGCTGAAATGGGTCCCAATGACTGCTTAGTGACAGCAATTAAAGTGGCTTCCTTTCTTCTGGACGAACTGTCCCAGCTTCTTCATCTGTGAAATGGGTTAACACTACTAGCTACAAAACAATGCTGAGAGAATTAAACACACTGAGAGCCAGGGCTTGCTCGTGGTAGGTACTTGGTAAACTGCTGCTGAATGGTCATAAATGAATGACAGCCCAAAGGCCCTTCCCTCACCCCATCTGAGGCCAATGTCCACCCTCTGACCACACGTTAAGACCTCCATCCCTCTGCGGGCCTCCCAGCTCGCCCAGGCCCCCGCCTCTCTCGCTCTGCTCTCCCAGTTATGTAACACCAGGGTGCACTTGGCCAGGCCCCTCAGCATCCTCATTATATAACTTCCTCCTGGCCGAATGGCCTCCTCCTCACACAGGGCCCTGCCCACCCCCATGCCAGGCACTGCCAAATGCTCATTTGCATGACCAGGATAAATTTGATCCTGGCAGCCCATCTGCAGTTAAGTCAGAAACCCCAGGATACCTTGGCAACAGCCTCCCAGCCTGGCCATCGGGGCTGCTGTGGCTCTACATCCGGGGACTGCAAAGGCCACCGGGCCCCATAGTGGGGAAGGGATCTGGGGCCACTCTTCTGCCCCCAGTGCTGCTCCTGGGGGCTCCAAGATGGCAGGGCTTCTGCTAGTACAAGCAGTGGCAACCAGGAGCAAGGAAGCCCTCATCCAAAGTCAGTGACTGCGGGCACAAGGGTGGGCCGGAGAGTCAGGGGGCCAAGTTTCACTCTCCATTCCTCTGGGCTTCAAAGGGACAAAAGCAGAACTGCTGGACCAGCTCACACTGCGCCTGTTCCCCTGCGGCCAGCAGCCATGTGGTGTCAGCTCCCAGGGAGGAAAACGGCCTCAGAAAGCCCCACTGCACTAGCCCAGGGCACCCAGAGGGGGACTGTAATCTCACAGCTCCAACTCCCCGCTGGAGACACCTTGTAATCTTGGTTAAAAAAAAGAGGATCAAAAGGGGGACAATTAGAATAAATCCCAAGAAGCTCAGCTTGATCATCTAGCACTGGCTGCACAGGTCCAGCCACAAGCCCTTTAAAGAAGTCCAGGGACAGAGGAGCTGGGATGCTAATGAGACCAGCCACGGAATGGCCCTCCAACCCAGGAAAGGGGGAAGGGCAGAATGGCCGAGAGGAAAAGGTGGGAGGCGAAGAGGCAGCAGGGCAGAGGAAAGGGCCAAGCTGGCCGAAACCAGCAGGGCAGCAGGGCCCAGCAGTGGCCACCCTGCTTCCTGGCAGCGGCTGCCTGTGACCTCACGGGCAGGGGCGTGGGGATGGGGAGGCGGGGGAGTGGGGCTGCAAGACACTGGAGTCTTTGTTTATTTGATTAGAAGGGGAAAAAGGCGGCCTCAGGACCAGACAACCAGGGTCACATGACCTCCAGGCTCGCTGGAGGCTGCACTGAGGATGGGGAACACCCAGGGTGCTGGGAAAAGCGGGTGAGAGGATCCCAGCCATGCAGTACACCCCGGGCTAGGTCCACACCAGACCTCGGGGAGCCCCACTCTCCCCACTCGGGGAGCCAGGGGGCTGAGGGTCAAGAGCCCCTTGAACTGAAGCCAAAGTGTGCTTTTCTTTCCCCCTGTAGCTACCACCACTTTCTCCACAGCCCCATCTCCTGATTGTCCTGTACCAAATCACCCAGACTGGATCTGAACTCTGGGCAGGCCTGAGGGTGGGAGGAGGGTTTTGGCCAAAGATGCTGAGGATGCAGCTGCACAGACTCTCTGAAGGTAACGTCCCACCCTGAGCTGGGCTGACCCACCTAGGTCACTACCGGTGGTGCTCAGAGCTGGGAAAGGAGGTGATCTCCAGATCAGCGTGGTGGGCAGGGTTCAGAAAGGCATGAGTATACACACAAAGATGCTGAGAGAACCAGGGCAAGGCGGACATGCGCTGCACGCGGTATGGGGCAGACAGCCTGCATACGCCGGCCAGACACACAGTGAAGGCCTATGGCCTCTGCTTCTCTCACACAAAGACACGCATGGCACCCGGAGGCAGCGGGTCCCCAGGCCCAGCCCCGTGACCCCAAGGGCACATTAATGCTGCCTCTGCCCTGGGCTGTGTCCTCCAGTTCACTAGTACCATGGCTCCGAGGCCCCCCTACTGTTGTGCTGGTGGCTTCTTTTTCTTCCCTCGCCCCTGTAGAGTGGGGCATTGAGCTAATTGGTAATGAAAGTATCACGGTCTCCTTCAGAGGCCCAGGGACCAAAGAGTTCTGGGCCCATAGCCCTATATCTGGGAGAGAAAAGCCTGGCCCCAGCAGGCCAGACCAGACCTGCTCCTCAAGCCCCAGCCTCTGTGACTCAGCCATGCTGAGGCTGCACATGACAGGCAGAGGCCAGAGTGAGGTGTGGCAGGAGCTGGCGGCAGGCGTGGTACCAGCAGCCTCCACCCCGGACTCCCTGCGATGTCTGTGTCCGCTGCCAGACTCCCCTCGTCCATCCAGGAAGAATGGGACAAACAGCCAGTGGCATTGGCACCCAGCGGGAGCAGTCTCCCAGGCAAGCGACCCTGCTATAGCCGAGAGAAAGCCAGGGCTTGAGGGTCCCAGCTGTGCATCCAGGAGGGTGTAGCAGGGAGTCCACCCAGGAAGGCACCACTGGCCTTGTCCACTGCTCCCCACAGCTCCCCTAACTCAGCCTGGACCTCCTGTGTGCAGAGCTCAGGCAAGGGCAGGGCCACCTCCCAGCAGGGCAGTACTGCTGACCAGAGGCCACAGCCCGGAAGGGGAGAGGGGAGGAAGTTCTCAGCCAAGCATTAAGCATATCTCCCATCAAGAGGGGCTGGGAACCACCAAGACCAAAGAGGCAGAAGGTCCAACTTTTGGCAGCTGCTGGGTTTCAGCCTCAGACCAATGGGGAAGCCACTGGCTGTGCTCAGGGGCCCAGTCTGGCTCCACCCCAGGCATGCTCTTCCCAAGCAGACCCTGGCTGGAGGCTGGAGAGAGGCATTCGGCAGTAGGCCTCTCCTCACCTTGTTCCCTGGGGATCGCAATAGGATAAATCGGTGTTTCCGCTTGAGGAGGGCACGAAGGTCCTGGCACTTCTCATAGCTGCCCAGTTCCACTGTCTCCACACACTTCTGCTCGTCCTGGTAAGAGAGACAAAGGGACACCTGGTGACAAGAGCTAGACCCACCAGGACCCTAGGCCACCAGGCTACGTCTCAGACACTGGTTCCACTGAGAATACCGCATTGCCACATCACCAAGACCCTGGAAGTGGCCAGGGCCAAGTCTGTGCTGGTCAGAGGGATGCCTGCACGTTCCCCATCCAGATAAGAAATAGGGGGTAGGGCCGCCGCTGGGGATTTAGCTTAGTGCTTCAGTTACCTGCCTCACAAGCGCAAGGTCCCAAGTTCGATCCCTGGTATAAAAAAAGAAAGAAAGAAAGAAAGAAAGAAAGAAATAGGGGGCAGCTGAGGGCTGAGTCTAAGGTGCCTAAGGCCAGCGGAGAGACCTAGAAAGGGTCTCTGGGGTGTGCAGGCCCAGAGGCAAGGCAGGGATCTGTGGAAGAGGTCACCTGGGAGAGGTCAAGGGTCTGTCAGAATGGGGTGACGCGGGAGGTGAGGGGGTGGGGGTGGTGTCCCAAGAACATAGAAGCAGAGGGCAGTGTAGACAAGGCATAGTTGGGGCCGTGCATCCTGCCTGCAGCAGCAACCCTGAGGTGGCTCCCTCACCCACCATCTCCCTCTGTCAGCCCTGGCTGGGAAGGATGGCCAGTACCCAGGCCACAGGCAACAGAGGGTAGAGGCTCACTTCCAGGCACCCCATCGAGCCCCAGCTGCCACTCTGAGGCCTCGGTGCCAGGACCCACCAGTCCCAAGACTTGAGGGTTTTCTCTTTACCCATCGGGCACCTGTCTGGCAAGCAGCTCCCTGATTCCTGGAGCCTCACAAGACCAGGAATGTCCACAGCCTCACCAGAGGGCTGCAGGCAAGAGGTCAGAAGGGAAGAGATTTGTCCTAACCCAGGTCAGGGCCCCAACCCACATCCCTGAGCCAGGGCAGGGTCTTCCCAGCATACCACCCTCCTCCCAAATCAAGCCGATGCCATGATCCACACCTTCTCAATCCCAGGTCCGCCCTGTGTGGTAGGTCAGCCAGCAGCATTACCACCTGAGAAACTGCTAGGAATGCAAATTCCTAGGCCCTGTCCTTACTAAATCAGAAAAGTAAGGACACAGACTTTTTGCAGTTCTGAATAGGTTGAGTGACAGCCCCTGGGACTTTTGTTATATTTTATTTTCAGATAGGGTCTCAGTAAGTCACTAAGTTGCCCAGGCTGGGCTTGAACTTTCAATCTTCCTGCCTTAGTCTCCCAAAGTTCTGGGATTACAGGTGTGTACCCCACACCCAGCTAAATCTGTTTTTTTTTTTTTGGTACCGGGGATCGAACTCAGGTCCTTGTGCTTGTGAGGCAGGCGCTGGAACCACTGAGCTAAATCCCCAGCCCAGCTGAATCTGAATATTACCTAGACTTCCAGGTGATTCTGATGTATGATGTATGACAAAGTTTACAGTTCACCACAAGTTCTCAATCTTGGCGGCATAAAGTTTTTTTGAGACAGGATCTCACTAAATAGCCCAGAGTGGGCTCAAATTTGTGGCAATCCTCCGGTGTCAGCCTTCTGGGTGTTAGGATTACAGGTGTGCACCAGCACACACAGCAGTAGCCTAAAGCTTTTAAAGAGCCTAATGCCTACGCACCATCCCAGACCAAACATACCAGGATCACTGGTGGTGAGACCCAGACTTCAGTATTTTTTAAAGCAGATGATTGTACAGCTAAGGCAGATAACCACTGATCTACTCTCTCTTCTGCCCTCACAGGAAGGGAAACATGGATGGGGGGCCTGATCTCTCCATGTAGGTTCACTCAGGTATCATTTCTCATTTTTGCTTCCCTATGTCTGTTTCTAACCTCTAGTCTCCAATATCTCCCAGGTTCCTCCATGAAACACGGATGGCCAGAAATGCCTCCTATTCTGAGAAGCCCCGTGGCACCTCCCACAACTGTGACTCTTAGTGCTCTCACTCTCTAGAGTCTTCCATCACTTCCTGTTGGGCACAAACACCCACAAAGCACCTGCTATGGACAGAGACCTACTAGGTGCTAGGGGCTCGGAGACAGCTATGGACAAGCACAGGCCTAAACCACCCCGTCTGGCCAGCTCACTCCACCCTATTCTCTGTGTGTCTGTCACCTTTCTGTGACCCACACAGGGCCCTACAGAAGACAGCCCTTGAGAGAAGCACGCAAAAGAACAGAGTGGGACCCCAGGAAGTCCCCTGCTCCCTGGGTACTAGGGAGGGAGGCTCCCAGAAGAGCAGCTCACCTGCCCCGCATGCATAAGACCTCCTGGAACTCAGAGTCAGTCCTCCACCACCCAAGTCCCTGCCCAGGTCTCTTCTCCAGCAAAATGCTGAATCACCCGGGCCCTCCTGCAGCTCAGAAAAGTGGATAAAGCAGCAGGCGCTGGGTGGGGGCAGCATCTTTGGAACGTCAGCCTCTGACAGCACAGAAACAGCCAAGAGCCGTCTGCACTCGCCTAAATCCTTACATCAGAAAGAGGAATTGAGCTAATAAGTATTTCTCAATTCCCACTCCTGGGCTAGGCTTCCCTATCCCTGAGTGCTAAGTTCTTGAGATTACTCTGAAATTTTTAAAAATAGTGATCATTTTTTTCAACAAGTGTGATTTGGATTTTTCTTGTTGGAGACATGAAGTCCTTCCTGTTTCCCAGCTGTGGCCAGATGTGGAGAGCAGTTTGGGATAAATCTGGCAGCACCCAACAGGCTGATAGCTGAGCTCGTCATTCCACTTTCGCGGCAGCTGGCAATGGAGGAAGCTGAGACAACCCCCTTTCTTTATAAAAATACCCCTCTGCAGGCTCATTCCCAGCTGCAGCACACGTGTGTGGTGTATCAGTACAGAACATCTGAGGGGCTGTCTGCGTACCCTCAACCCCTTTCCCTCTGCCTGCTGCTTTTCTGACACCCCGACTCCAGGAGCCTAGGGAATCAGGCTGGACAGTCAGGAGCTTCTCAAGGCAACTCCGTGAACATTCAAGCAAGGCTGACCAGTCTGCCTCTGCCTGGGAGGATGAATTTTCCAGGATACCCTGAGGGAAGCTGGGACAGACTGATAAGGAAGAGAGGCAGACTGTGCCTACGGCCCTTCTGTGTCCCAGCTGTCAGAGGCACACAGTGACAGCCCTCCGACAGCCCTCTCTGTCAGCCTCGAGCCCAGGACCTACCCAACATCTACAGGAAAACGTTCTTCCTCAGTCTTGCACCAACTCTTATTGACTCTGTGCACAATTTTAGCGTTCTCGGTTATGCTCACCCCAAGCTGCCGGAACGAGGAGGGGCAAAGGATGAAGTGGGAAGACATGAGGACTGTTGCAGAAGTGGCACCTGGGAGCTTCACGATAAAGGAAAAAGAAAGGCTAGAAGCACAGGCTGGTGGTACAGGACAGACGACAAGTGACTCGGGGTCACCGTGGTCAGTTTAGGCCAGCATCTTCTATTAAAGAAAGCAGAGACTATTTAACATGTTTCAGAAGAACTCCACCAAAAATAGATTTCACAGTTTACTTGTTGGTGGTTTTAGACCTGAGTCCTCCAATCATTTGAGATGCTGAATTCACTGTCATTTTGCTACCCTGAGCCTCAGATCCTCGTCTATAAAATGTGACAGATGACCACTCTCACATCTTCAGAGAGGTATGACCGGGCACAGTGGTGCACACCTGTAAACCCAGCACATAGGAGGCTGAGGCAGGAGGACTGCCATAAATTTCAGGCCAGCTTGGGCTACATAATAATCCTACCTCAAAAGAAGCCGGGCGTGGTGGCGCATGCCTGTAATCCCAGCACTAGGGAGGCTGAGGCAGGAGGATCTCTGTGAGTTCAAGACCAGCCTGGGCTACATAGTGAGTTCCAGGTCAGTCTCAAATACATAGTGAGACCCTGTCTCAACCTCCCCCCCCCAAGAGAAACAAACAAACAAACAAACAAAAAAGCAGAGAGAGATACATAAAACTTCCAAATAAGTATGAAGTGTATTTCTGCGCCCACTGTTAAAAAGGAGCAGGCCTCAGGCTTTGGAGGACTTTCTTACACAGAACCTTGCCCAGGGGCTGGAAATTCTGTACACAGGTAGACAGTTGAGGAGACTCATGCTTATGGTTCAATGAGCTCCATCCAGCAACACTAGATTAGTCCCATGCCACACACAGACCCGGTGGAGATCAGCACTTGTCCAGGGTGGCACAGATGTCAAAAGTGTTCCAGGTGTTCCAGCCTCAGCCCAGAGTCGTGCTGCATCGGACCCAAGCCTGACCTCACCTCGTTCTCACAGACCAGCAACTGGGCCTGACGGAGGAGCAGGTAGCGATCTTTCCAGTGGCCCAGGAGGCCCCCGCTGCTCTTCTTGATCCAACCAGACTTGTCTGCCGTCCGCGCTCCTTGAGGCTTCTCGCCACCCTCCTTCAGGCCCTGTGAAACAGCACCAGGACATGGTGTAAAGGCCACTGCCACAGGGCCACATGCTCCACAGGACGCGCGAGGGACGTGTGGCTGTGCTGGGTACCTAATGATGCCTTCCTGTATGAGGTTCCTCACAATCCTAACGCAGCATCCAAAATAACAGCAAACTGGGCACAGTGGCCCAGGCCTGTAATCCTAGCTACTGGATAGGCAGAGGCAGGAGGATTGTGAGTTCAAGGCCATCCTGAGCAAAGAAAAGGAAGAAAGCAAGGAAGTAAGAAAACAAGAAAGGAGAGGAGAGGAGAAATGATGACTAATAGCAGCAGCCATCTTCCATTAGGCCACCACACTGCATCTCACATCCACGGTCTCATTTAACCCTAGCAATTCCCCTCTGAAGTGAAAGCACCGTTATCCACATGTCACTGCAATATGAAGCTAAGGGAGGAGACACGACTTGCCACAGTCACCCAGCTGGAGGGACAGAGGCAGAATTCAAAGCAGGCCTCTGACCCCTTGTTTCTCCCACTCTACCCTTCCGCCTCCTTGTGTTCATGCAGCCAGTCAACAAATGCCCAGGGCACTCAAGTTGCCCAAGAATTAAGTGAATGCAGCCTCTGCCCTTGTATGGGGGCGGGCGGAGATTAAATACCTGACACACACACATTAAGCAGCGCAAGGTGCCCCCAAGGATGCAAACAGGGACCAGTGATAAGACAGTGGGGACCCACTGGGGGGCAGTGAGGCCTCCTGGACGAAAGCACATTTCAGCAGAAATAGGAAGGATGGGAGGGATCAGGAAGGCTGAAGGGCACTCTGCCTCTGCAAGGACCCAGTCTGCAGCCCTCACGCTTCCTGTCCCAAAGCAGAGGCCATGCTGTCCTCGTCCACCCCAGGCCAGGACTCAGGCGGCCACCTATCTGGTGAGGGCTCCGAGACCCCTTTCTTCTTCAACCACAGGCTGGTATGCAAGATACTCAACTGAAGCTGCATCCTAGACGGGGTGGCCACCCTGCAGCCTTGGGGTGGCTACAGGCAGCTCGTAGCCCATGCATTCGTTACCTGCCTAGGCAACTGGGGCCAAGTGTATGATTACCAGATGGGGTTAGATGTAACTCTGGGTCCCCAGCACTCAGCCCCGTTTTACACATTATGGGGCTGAAGAAATATTTGTGAAATGAAAATAAAAATATACCCTATGTGCTAACCACTTTGCCTCCCTGCCTGGTACCCAGGGTAGGAAGTGTGACGGGAGTATGGGAGACAGGGTGTCAAGAGTATGTCCAAATCTAGAGGATGCTACTAGGAATACAGCACTGACTAATCCTAACTACGGTATAATTTGCATAAAACTCAGAAAAGGGGCCTGGTTAAAAGAGGCACGCCTCTCCCCAGGGATGGCCTGCGGCCATAGCTGTCTTTGGGCAGACGAGCCCGGGCAGAGTTAAGTGGTGAGCTGTCGGAGGCAGGGCAGGCCTGGCTGTCCGCAAGGCCCCACCACCTCCTGGAGCTACACACTGTGGTGGTTGGGAGTCTGGGTTTTGGAGCCCAAGTCATGAACATGGGAGACAAACTACCTAATCTAGGTTTCAGTGTACCCATGACATGGAGATATTAGCAGTGGTGATTGTAAGAAATGACTCTGTAGGGGCAGAGATTTTGTTTTTGTCCCCAGTGCCTTCATAGTGACTAAGTGCTCAATGAACGTTTTTTGGCTGAATGATGCTAAGACAGGCAGAGCAGTTCCTAGGAAACCTAAGCACCTAAACATAGAAGATAGCAGTTGGCCAGGGATGTAGCTCAGTTGCACTGTGCCTGCCTGGCAAGTACAAGGTCCTGAGTTTGATCCCTGGTACTGGAAATAAACAAAAACAAAACAAAAAAACCACAGCAGTTCATAGCAGTTGTCCTTCCTGTCATTCCTGCTGTCACTGCCCCACACTGTGACGCTCAGGGACACTCTTGCGGAGGCCAGCTCCCCATCTAGACAAGGCCTTTCTAGACCTCAGACCTCCAGGTGCTCCAGGGATATGGGGAGCACCCTTGGGGTCTCTCCCTGACCTGTAGATGCCAAGAGAAATAGGGAAGCAGTATGGTCCAAGCGGTCTTCCTAGGTGCAGGAACGAGGAAGTGAGGGCCTGGTCAATTATAAGCTGCCCTGTCCAGGAGAAAAGGGAACCCCAGGACACTTCAACAAGAACAGGAGGCTCACCCATCCAACAATGCATCCAACTTCCAACAATGGGAACCCCCATCCCCATGCTCCCCAAAGGCACACCCCTCTTCTCAGCAACTCCGACATCCTGGGTACCACTGAGGCGCTCAGTGCCTCTCTTAAACTGGGCGGTGGAAGCCTCTGCCACATCTCCCACTTCTCAGCTCCAAGCCTGTGTCCTGCTTTTCTGGAGTCCCACCAACCCTTTCAGGAGACCTCACACCTTTCCCAACTTCACTTGTGAGACTCCCAGCCCCACCAGCTGCTGAAACTTGAAAACTTCCCCCAAGCTGGACACTCTGGGGCCAAGGCTGGAGGCCTGGGCCTTGATCACTGTCTCCTCTGGGCTAAGTGTAGCACAGTGCCCAGGAACACCATGACTGGATTAGCTAGAGAAGCCAGTCCAAGGCCTGGGAGGATGGGTGGGACCAGGATGGGGCTGGGAGGGAGGAGACAACTGAGGGGCTGCAGCTGGTTGTAGCAAAGCCCAGCTATCCTAAGGGTGCCTGGCTGGAGGCCTCCACCCTGCGGACCAACCCCATCCCTGGCCCTCAGACCACCTCCCTCCAAGAGGCCTGGCTAAGCCCCAGCCAGTTTTAACAAGGAGCCCCGCCCCTTGACAAGGTTCACAGGAGAGGTTTTGTCCTGCTCAGCTCAGTGTCTCAGCCTCCTCGCCTCTTACTGACCAGCTGACCACTGGTCCTCTTGTGCCCCCTCGCCTCCCATCCATCCTTACCAGGCTTTCTCCCATCCACCATGAATAGCTCCTAACACCCTAGGCACCAGCCTGGCTCCCCTATGCCTGACACAGGAAGGTCTCTGCGTCATCCGTAAAAAACAAAGAGCCAGGTCACTCTGACCCTGGACATGAAAGGACAAATGGAAAGCCATAAGGTTAAAACAGAGACCAGCAGAAGCAGCCTTGTTGTTTGAGCTGGGCATGGTAGTGCACACCTGTAATCCCAGTACTTGCAGGCTGAGGCGGGAGGATCGCCTTGAGTTCAAGAGTAGCCTGGAGTATATACCAAGGCTCTGTCTCAAAGAAAAAAACAAACAGAACAGAACAGAATGGAAACAGCAGCCTTGTTGGCACCCCACATCACAGGCAGCTCATGATGACACTTGCCTTTAGACTAAGCCCAGGGATGCTCTGAACCTCCTCTCCTGAGAACCCTCCAGGAAGCACTGACTCTGCCCTACAAACTTCAAGTCTGATGGGGGCCACACACACAGACAGCTCCAGTCTGGGGGCTGGGCGGGTCTCCCCTGTTGGGAAAAGATCCCCTGTCCCAGCACTCTGCTGGTGTTGGTCCAGGAAGCCTTGCAGAAGATGAGGCTCTGAGAAGGGAAGGGAAGCCAACCTGGCCCAGAGAAGGAAAGAGAAATAGGGAATCAAAGTCCCTCCCGCTTTGCTACAGAAAGAGAAAGTGTAGCCTAGAAAAGGAAAGAGAATCACTTCTCAGCCTTTTGGCTAAGATCAAGTGCAGAAAGAGAAAGGAATTAGCCCAACACCGCTGCGGGACAGGACACTGCCCACCCTGTCTCAAGCTGGGTGACGGCAAGTAGGCGGCCTGGAACCAGGGCAAGTGACCAGCTGGGGGAGGGCAGGGGGACACATGGGAAGTAGAGACCTGAGGTTTCCAGCTGTACTCCAGCAGCAGCCACAACACCTCCCCTGAGTTTTCCTCATGTTCCCAGATCCCTGGCCCCTCTCATTGTACAGATCGGGGAAACTGAGGGCACAGGCGAGCAGATGCTCGGTGCCCAGCCCAGCACTTCCTCACCAAGCTTCAGGGTGACAGGGATGACAGCCCATTGCACAGGAGGTCACTGGGACTGAGAGGGTCTGGGTGCAGGGTGTCTCTAAGCTAGCAGGAGGACTGAAAGCAGCCCTGTGGAAGGGAGGTGATGGAGTGGCCAGGGATCATGGGAAAGAGCAGGTGACCATGGTCTGAGAGGTGGTCAGGCCTAGAGAAACAAGGGAAGCTACTGGAAGAAGTGGAGGATGCCAAAGGGAGGGAGAGGGCAGGGGAGCCCCTGGTTGTGTGGGTGAGGGCTGGTGGTGGCTGGGACGAAGAAGTGGAGAAGACTTTAGAAGGCCAGGGTAGTCCTTGAGCTTTTAGGTATCTGGGAGTCAGAAGCAGCAAGGTTAGAGATTAAGGGTTAGAGCCCAACTAAGCCTGGAAGGCCCCAGGAGAACTTCCTCTAACTGGGGGCCCAGAGTAAATCAGGCAACGGAATAATCCCCCAGGAACCCATATCCCCCAGGAACAGGGGCGGGACCTCCCAGGGAGCCCAGCCCTTGAAGCAGGGGCTTCAGGCAGAAGGCAGGCCCAACCTGTGACAGCAAGAAAGAAACCACAACAAATCACAGTGGTCTGATTTTGCCCCCTACCCTGAGAGGAGAGCCGGAGGCAGGCTGGGGAGGAGCCTGGGCCCCGTTTTTATAGAAGAGGAAACGTGGGCTGAGAGGGGAAGTGACTTATCTACCATCCCACAGAAATGCAGGCCTAGCCTGGAGGGAAGAGGCAGCCTACTCTCCTGAGCTGTGGCCCCAGGAAGTAGGGAGGTGGACGCGGACAGGGACACAGGCAGCCTAGTCCACTCAGAGCTCCCCAGCTCACCAGAGCTGCCCTACTAGGGAAGGCTTCATTTCTGTCCCCACCCATCCAGTCAAAGATACATCCCCTTCCTTGGGGCTTGGACAAGCAGAAGCTGGGAACCATCTAAGGGATACGAATACCCTCTTGTTTATTCCACAGAAATATGTTAAATGCGTGCCGTGTGCATGCAAAGGGTAGAGGTCACAGAGTACCTGACCCCAACTCAGGGTGTCCTCGGAGGGTAGAGGGAGGCTCAGGGGCAGCGCAGATCCAGCCCTCCCATGGATGTGGGGGAGGCAGGGGCCTGATTCAGATCTGGGGCAGGGAAGGGAGAGGGGACTCAAAGGGACTTACATCGGGAGAAAAAAGCAGTCTCTTCAGTCCTCCTGCCACGGGCAGGGTCACGACCTCGGATTCCTTGAGCTAGGGACCCCGGAGCCACCTCCCGCTAGCACACGCCCTGGATCTGAACCGGCCGGCTGGACGGAAACGGGGCTCCGGCGCAGGCACCAGGCCGCTTTCGACAGTCACCGAACTCGCCGGGGCTTCAGTCTCCTCATCACCCCAAAGGGGACAACAACCACGACCACTTCCCCACGGCAGGTGAGAAAAGGCGAAGGCGCACAGAGGGAGGACTCGTTCGACCTCCACCCCGCCCTGCCCCATCCGCCTAGATTCGCCCGGGGGTCCGAGGCCGAGGGGAAGGGGGCGGGCAGCAGCCAGAGCCTGAGCCCG